AACTCGTCATATACATACTGCATAAACTGAATACTAGCAGTTTCAGTAGAGTGGTTCTCTCGAAAACCGTGTTGGCATTCTGTCAATATGTTATATTTATTTAGAAAAATAGTTATCATTTTATGCAGGATTTTTTTTATTATTTTTGAGATAATACTCAAAACTGAGATCGGCCGATAATTGTCAATATCATTTGAATCCCCTTTCTTATACACCGGTGTTACACAAGCGATTTTCAGACAAGTTGGGAAAATGCCTGAATTAATAGAAATGTTTATAAGATACGCCAATGGGCCTGCAATAATATGTAAAACCATCAATTCCTGCGGAATTAGTTTGTTTAAAGATTTTAATAATATATATTATATCACTTGGAGTTATAGGAGGTACAAAGATTGAATTTGGTACACCTTCACAGGTAGTACATGTCGACGGAATATGATCACCAAAATGCTGACCAACCTTGCTTTCGGCTACTGTAGAAAAGTAAGAAGCAAAGCATTCGGCCACCCGTTTTTCGTCAGACACTATCTCATTATTTATATTAATTTGTATTTGTTTATTGTTGGATTTTACCCGCTGTAATTGCGAATTTACTATTTTCCAGATTTCTCTTGTTCTGTTTTGTGCACTGGAAATACTCGACTGGAAATACAATTTCTTTGCATTTTTTATATTTGAGTGGTATCTTTTTTTGTTTTCTTTATATATGTGTTGCAATACAGGATCCTTTACGTTTTTCATTAACCAGAACAAATTTTGCAAACATTTACGTTCTTGCATCATTTCNATATCACAAAGGAGTATTAGAGATATTTAAAAAAATACTCACACTATTTATACTATTTCAAAAACGCTTTTGAAATGAAAATGATCTAAAGTTGAGAGCATTATGAGAACAATATGGTAATAAAATTATTATGTTACTCAAACATTTCTGAAAATATACTGAAACGTAAAACAAAAATATCGAGGGCATAAATGGAACATAAAAAGAATGTTACTGAAACCAATTTTTTGAAACGTTTCATTGGAAACGTATTTTGGGGAGGACATCTTGGGCTTCTAGAACGTTACCAGAACGTTGCATGGATTTTTTATGAAGTGTTTCAAGAAAAATGGAAACGTTTCTGAAACATGTCAGAAATTGAAAAATGTTTAGTGGGATATTTTATAGTGTAAATAGATAGCCCTTCTAAAGACGAATTCAGTGATATAAGGTTTACCTACTTTTTTGTCATAGTTGTTAAAACATTGAGGAATTAAATGAAAACAATATTTTAGTACTACTTTTTATTTTATTACAGCAAATGTTCAACTTGACCCCCATTAACCATTGCATAATGCCCAACTCGGTGTTCAAAGTTATCAATTACATTTTGAATAACATTTATTACCACTATATGTGGTAAAAATGCTTGTACACGCTGTATAATTATGACAAAGGTACGAAAAATAACTGTTGAGTGGCTAATATTTAAAGTATGGTATTTTTAAAATTCCCAGTTTCACTAAGACGCTGATATAAAAGACTAAACATCGTATAATACGGAACATCGCGATCGGCATAACGTTATTCAATGGTTGACAAGACCACAAAAGAATATTTTACTATTTATGCATTTTACGATTTTAAAGATCGACTGCACAATAACAGCTGTTGACAGCAATGTATTGTTTTCGCAAATCTTGACGAATACTTATTTAGGAAAAGAAAAGAACACGTTAAAAAAAGACGGCGAAGGATGTAGATGTAGTAATACTCTGGCTGGTTTTGGCTTTTTCTGTAAAGCACGTCTCCTCTATTTTTTTTTACTAAAAAACACTTTAGGGAAAACATGCAAATGTTAGAAAAGTTTCTATGTGAACCAAGTTTTTAGATAAAAGAGATAAAACATCTCAAATTGCGTTTTTCTGTGTTTCTTCAACTGTGTGAAATAAAATAAAAACTAAATTTTAGTATACCTACCAGGGCGACCCAAAAAAAACGAATATTTTTTTTCGTGTCTCTTATGAAAATATGTTAGTTTATTATGTTTTAAGAGCCTCCTCAAAAAATCAGCTCAAAAAAATTTTTTTAGAGGTTACTCATCAAGATTTTTAAAAATTTCCAAAATCGTCAAAAATTGAATTTTTTTAAATTTTTTTTCTCGTTATTTTATCATTTTCTAGGATGAAAAAAATCTCGATTCTAAAAATGTAAAATCGATATTTTAATTTCTAAAGGTCACATAATTATTTTAACCTTATAAATAAATATCAACGAACTAATAATTTTTTTATTGAATTTGATGAACAAAAGAATAGAAATAAATCACGAGACACTTAAATTTTAAAAAATTCAAAAACTATAAATATTTGATAGGTACATACTCAAAGTGCGGTAGTAAAATTTGCCTCGATAAATTTTTTGTGTCTCGTGATTAATTCTATTCTTTTGTTCGTCAAATTAAAAAAATAGTACATTATACTATAAGGGAGAGAAATGCGTTATTTTGGCAGAGGTGCAATTTGAAGCCCGAGGGCTACAATGCACCGAGGACAAAATAACGCATTTCTCTCCCGAATGGTATATACTATTTTTTCCACGGTCTCNGCAGGGGCTGTTCCAATAACAATGCTTTTTCTCTTTTTCCTTTTGTTTACCACAGTTACAAAGCTGAGATCTGTCTTTGTTAAACTAGCGCCCTCTGTTAACAGTTCTTCCGCGACGACGGGCTTGTCGTTATCACTGTTTACTTCCAAATGTATGTCTGCATCTAGAGGCGGAGAGATGTCGCCAATAGTCGCTGGATATTTGTTTGATATGACTTCATTTTTTTCATTTTTTCCATGAATCTTTTTATTTTTTGCCTTAAAATTTCTATCTGGACAATGCTTGGATAGGATTCTTATTTCGTTACTTAATATTTCGATTTGACTTGACTGTTTATTTATAATGTCCTTTAGCTCACCAATTATTTTCAAAATATCCTTCGAGTCTGCAAAGTGCACTTTACAATCACAGCACATCCACAACAGGTTGCAATTTTTTGAACTTATTAGTTTTACTTCATAATCCTTGAAATTAACACATCCATGATGAAAGTAATTGTTACACACACCACTACACTTAATTGTTTGACGGACCTATAACATTACCGACATTTTTTTTTAATAGAGGGCGTTCTATACAAGGTGTCCCACCGGGAACTGCGTCGATCGATATCTAGGAAAGTATTGCTCCGAAAAATTAGGAAATTTGGCAACATGGCAATGTCCCTAGGGCGAATACAACTAAAATATCTAGAACTCTCCAGCACTTTCGGTTATACCGGAAGTCGACACCAACTTCGTTATTTTCAATAGAACACCCTATATATTATTGCATTTTCCAATTCTATATGAAATTTGAGGGTTACTTTATTAAATATTCCCTATACCTATCGAAATAAATGAAATAGACCCCTGAGTTTGGAAACTGATATTAAGAAAACGTAGGGGCAAGAAAATTTGAAATTTAGACCATATACAGATTCGGAAAGTCCCCATGGTACATCGGCCGTTACGTGAGAGCGATAAAGTAAGTCATAGAAATCCGTGCGATAGACAAGGATGGCTTTAATGAAGGCGTCTCATAGTTACCGCCCGTTTCGCTCTTCCGCAAATAACTTCCACTTGTAATTCAGCGACCGGTGGTCATCGTTGTTTTCGTTTTTTGCCTTTTCTTTAATAGATGTCACTACTTATACAATTCCGACTCAGGTATTCCGATATGTTAATACAATCCGTTAACAGAGGGCTAGGTATTTCATTTTTGCTGTTACATTTTGATAACTTCAAACAGCTATAACTTTTTACTATTTTACTATTTATGTAGTTTACGATTTTAAAGATCGACACGAGAGATGCACAATGACAGCTGTTGACAGCAAATGTATTATTTTCACAAATCTTGACGAAACGTCTACTTTATTTTTTGACTAAAAATCGCATTACGGAAAACATGCAAATGATAGAAAAATTTTTACGTGAACCAAGTTTTCAGATAAAAGAGATAGCACATTTTAAATTGCGTTTTTCTTTGTTTCTCCACTGTGTGAAATAAAATAAAAACTGAGTTTTAGTTTACCCCTTCAAAGTGGTGTACTTCGATAGCAGAGATGTTGGAATTATTTTCAAAATGTTTACATAGAGGGCTCCCCTTACTGTTCGGCAAGACATCGGCCCCTAACAGTTTCTCGTAATATAGAAACTTTTCTGCTTATTTTTATCTAAAAAATGCCGCTTTAATGTTTGTGTATTTCCTTTTACATTATGTAAAGAAAACATATGCGAATTACATAGGTATATTATCTTTCTCTAGTACATACATACATTAGTTGTTAATTTATTAATTATATATTTACAGGTGTTATATTACGGCCTCAAACAAGACAACAACATGCTCCCCAACTCCCTGTTCTTCGACACTTTAAGGGTAGAACCGAAGTTAGATCCCGAAGAAATAAAACAACGTGCCGCAGAAAAGCAAATCAACCTCCGTTACTACGAAGACGGTTCCGTAGGCGTGGCTTTAGACGAAACAGTGACCTTCCAAGACATAAACGACCTCTTCCACATATTCGGCGCCCCCCAGAAAATCGAGGACTTGATCAACTTCCCTGATGTGCGTGACGTGTCTATCTCAAAAAGCGAATTCAAAAGAACCTCCCCCTTTTTGACTCATCCGGTATTCAATTCTCATCATTCCGAAACTAGAATCGTAAGGTACATGAAGAAGCTGGAGAACAAGGATATCTCCTTGGTACACTCAATGATTCCTCTAGGCTCTTGCACAATGAAGTTGAACTCGACGACGGAGATGATGCCGTGCTCTTTCAAACACTTTACCGACATTCACCCCTTCGCACCTTTAGAACAGAGCTTGGGCTACCACCAACTCTTTGCGGAATTAGAAAAAGACCTCTGCGCCATAACTGGATACGACAAGATAAGCTTCCAGCCCAATAGTGGCGCCCAAGGCGAATACGCTGGGTTAAGAGCCATCCAATGCTACCACGAAGCTAGAGGTGATATTCACAGAGACGTGTGTTTGATTCCTGTGAGTGCCCATGGCACCAACCCCGCAAGCGCTCAGATGGCTGGCATGCGAGTAGAACCTGTGAAAGTCCGACAGGACGGCACCATAGACGTGGAGGACCTGCAGTCGAAAGCGGAGAAGTTTACGAACCGGTTGTCTTGTTTCATGATAACTTACCCGTCCACTAATGGAGTCTTTGAGGAAACCGTAGCTGACATGTGCGATATAATTCACAAAAACGGCGGTCAAGTGTACCTAGACGGTGCCAATATGAACGCGCAGGTAGGACTGTGCAGACCTGGCGACTACGGTGGAGATGTCTCCCACTTGAACCTGCACAAGACTTTCTGCATTCCTCACGGTGGGGGAGGTCCTGGCATGGGTCCTATAGGTGTTAAGTCTCACTTGGTGCCTTTCCTACCCGGGCATCCTGTAGTGAATCCCCTTGGTGAGAATTCCACGTCTTACGGAGTGGTCAGTGCGGCTCCGTTTGGATCTAGTGCCATCTTACCCATTTCGTGGGCTTACATCAAGATGATGGGACCTAGAGGTTTAAGGAAGGCCACCCAAGTGGCTATACTGAACGCCAATTACATGTCTAAGGTACTGGAGCCTTACTATGTGACTCTATTCAAGAGTTCAACCACGAACTTAGTAGCGCACGAATTCATCATCGACGTTAGAGAGTTTAAGAAAACGGCTAACATAGAAGCGGGCGATATCGCCAAACGACTGATGGACTTTGGTTTCCACGCCCCTACGATGAGTTGGCCCGTTGCCGGTACTCTCATGATCGAGCCCACGGAATCAGAAGACAAACAGGAGCTGGATCGATTTTGCGAGGCTCTGATCACGATCAGACAGGAGATCCGAGACATAGAAGAAGGAAGGATGGATATAAGGCTCAATCCCTTGAAGATGGCGCCACACACGCAATTGCAAGTTATCAGTACATCATGGGAGAGACCGTACACTCGCGAACAGGCAGCTTTTCCAGCCGACTTTGTCAAGCCAGATCATAAGATTTGGCCTACCGTGGCGAGGATCGACGATATTTATGGAGACAAGCATTTGGTATGCACTTGTCCGCCGATTCTGGAGGAGTACGGTTATTGATATCGGGCCAGGTTAGGAATATTTACAACACTGCGATAGCGGTTTCGGACTGGATGAATAAGTGTGATATTTTAAAAGTTGTTCTGCCTCGTCTTGTTATAATCGCATACAAGTTTTTAAGCAAATTCTGCTCGTAATTATTTTTCTCTTTTTACTTTAATTAATAAAGAATGAATAAAATAAAACCATTTTGTTTAATTTGAAGCGAATTTTATTGCTGGAAATTTTCTTACCTTGTAGTCTCCATATTTATTTTCACATTTAGAGTACCTGAATTCAGTTATCGGCCATCAAAAAATTCTGTTGACAATAGTCCAGAAAAAATAAAGAAAGAAATAAACGAACTTTTTTGCTCTGAGTTTTTATTATAGAGAACTGTAGAATGTGAGATCAGAAAACATGTGAATCACACGCAACCACCAGCAACACATATAGTACAGTCATTGAAACTTTTCACCTCCGAATTCTTTGAATCTGAACCGATCGACTTGGAATTTGGCAGATAGTTAGAGAAAAGGTCAATGAACATTAGTGACATAGCGCCGATTGACGCTTCCACCCAGGTGGGGGTTGACACACCTTCGCGGGGGTGGAAATTTTTTTTTTTACGTCAACGTCAAATAACGGAAAAAGGATTAATTTTATGTGTACAACGCTCTTGGCGTTTTTTGAAGTACTCAAAAAGACCTTCAAAATGAGCACTTATAAAAGTTAATTAGATCAAAATTGAAGGAGTTATCGTCAAAAACAGATGGGTTGCTCATATTTTTTAAGGANTAATAAAGAATGAATAAAATAAAACCATTTTGTTTCATTTGAAGCGAATTTTATTGCTGGAACATTTTCTTACCTTGTAGTCTCCATACTTATTTTCACATTTAGAGTACCTGCGTCGACCTGAATTCAGTTATCGGCCATCAAAAAATTCTATTGTCAATAGTCCAGAAAAATAAAGAAAAAAATAAGCGAATTTGAGATCAGAAAACATGTGAATCACACGCAACCACCAGCAACACATATAGTACAGTCATTGAAGCTTTTCACCTCCGAATTCTTTGAATCTGAACCGATCGACTTGGAATTTGGCAGACAGTTAGAGAAAAGGGAAAAGAACATTAGTGACACAGCGCCGATTGGCGCTTCCACCCTGTTGGGGGTTGACAACCCTTTTCGGGGGTGTAAATTTTTTTCAAAAATAACGCTGAAAATCGATAGAGAATCAAATTTTGAGCAAATAATATTTGAAGAATTTTTTCGATAAATCAATAGTTTTTTAGTTATTCATGATTGAAAACTTGGAATTTTGAGTGAAAAAAAAAACACTTTTTCAACGTATTTCTCGCGAATAACTCAAAAACTACGCATTTTATTAAAAAAAGTGTAATGAACAAAAATGTAGCTTATAAATAAACAAAGAAAATCGTTTTTAAAAATGTTCTATACAAAGCGAAATATGGTTAGTGGAAGGGGACTTGGTTTGGGGTGAATACTCGAATCGATGTATTCAACGTCAAATAACGGAAAAAGGATTAATTTGACGTGTATAACGCTCCTGGAGTTTTTTTGTAGCACTCAAAAAGACCTTCAAAATGAGCACTTATAAAAGTTAATTAGATCAAAATTGAAGGAGTTATCGTCAAAAACAGATGGGTTGCTCATATTTTTTAAGAAAAAATGAGCAGTAAACACTGTACCATTTCCATCAGAATTAAAATTAATCATAGACCCTTTACAATTAGTTTTATTTTAGTGTTTTTCATGCGATCCTGAAGTTAGACCGGTTTAGAATGCCTATTTTTTGAATAATGTACGGTGAAAGTTGAAAATGTATTTTTCATTATTAAAAAAAAATTGCCTTATTTATATAATAACTCTGAAACTATGAAAGATACGTCTACGTGTGGTAGACAACAAAAATGTAGCTTTTTTTCAACAAATATTTTGCTTTTTTTTATTCTATAGCAAAAAAAAAATAAAGGAGATATCACCGCTTGAAGTATCCATTTTAGTGAATAAACGACCCGCCTCGATCCCTTCGATCCTTTCCCTTTAAAAAACGACAGATTTAAAAGGTTTTATATGCAAACGATCTTACAGATCTTGAAATTATCTTTGAAATGCTTTTTTGTAGGATAGTATAGCTTCAAAATTAACCGAGTTATGGTAAAAAAACCAATGACATTTTTTCGGAGCAAAATAGGCTTTCTCATTTTTATGTATTATATTAATATATTATACTATGCAAATAAAAATTTAGTTTGATTATTTATATGCAGCGTAGCAATTTTTTTTTATGATTGATTATATTTAAAAATCGATTATAATGGCAAAAGTAAAATATTCTTTATCGTTTTTTTAGCACAGGGGTGATTTATAAGGGTTGAAAAGTGTTATGAGATACAAATTCTTTCGTAAGCAATGAGGGAATTTTTATTTTAAATAATTGCACCGTTAAAGGATTCCAAGTTTTTAAAAAGTAATTTTTTATCATTTTTGTCAATACAGGGGTGGTTTTTAGGGATTGAAAGGGAAAAATTCTTTCATTAGCTATAAGGTAACTTTTATTTTAAATTTAATAACTCCAAATCTTTAAAAAGTATTTTTTTATCATTATCTCTTCAATAGGTGTAGTTTTTAAGGGTTTACCCCTAAAAAACAAAAAGCGTCAATCGGGCTTATGTCACTTTTGAACTTGAGCCTAAGATGAGCCTTATTCTAAATTTTCATGCAAATCCATGCAGTTTCAAAGAATTCGCAGGTTACAGCTGATTTTCAGCTTCAATGATTGTACTAATAGCGTTTTGAGATGTAGATACATACAGGGTATCCCCAAATATCACCGACAACGTTTGATTGAATATTCACGACGATAAATAAATACGATCTACGAAAAACAATTAAATAAAAAATGTTTGGTTTTTGAGTTACAGGTCTTCAAAATTGTCAAAAATAAAAATTATTTAATTAATAACTTCATAATTCTTTCACCGATCGCGTTAAAATTTGGCATATTTATTTGGACTATTATGGCGTATTATTTCTTAAAGCTTTAGTCAAATCGATATACTGGGTGATAGTTTTCTCCGGTTACCTCCCTTTTTTAGCGGCCAAAACTTTTACAGTGGTCGTATTTTTTTAAAAGGACAGCAACATTGAAAAGGTCGTTTTATTTAAAAAAAATGTCTCTTGTGAAAGTCGGCTACAGAATACCATTCTTGAGAAAAATGGCATTATTTGCAGATCTGTATGTTTCGGTTTTCGTAGCAGTCACGGATTTAAAACTTTGAGTTCAGTAGGCGATGAAAACGGATTGTTGATCGAAGTTTCGATTTTCCCAATAGTTTTCCCTTAAATTTTGTAAATGAAATATGTACAGATTATGTGAAAATTAATGTTTTGGAACTAAATAACGGTCAACTCAGTTTTAAATAACAAAAGTGATTTATAGAAAAGAAAATTGAGGAAAATTCTGAGAAAATCTTATATAATTTTCCGAGGTTAGAATATTTATGAGCATCAAACGTATCATAGTATTAATTATTTAAAAAAATTACAAAACAGTAGAATTGATAAAAGAAACGGTATACAATATAGTAGATCACCGTATATAAATAAAAAAACGAATAAAATAATACCAAAGACAGACAAAGAAGAAATGACAAACGACGAACACGACAAAAACAACAAACGACATGAAATATTCTTGGAATAGTTACTTCGAAATCGTTATTTGGTGCCGCTACATTGAAACTGCCCCTTAGAACCGTACCATCGGTACCTTTTCTTGAAACCGTTACTTTGGAGTTATTTTTTGGAACCGTTAATTGGAACTGTTACTTTCTAACCGTTCCTTGGAGCCGGTCCTTTGAAACCGTTCCTCGGATATGTTACATTAGAACCGTGATTTTCTAACTGTTCCTCGGAACTATTCCTAGGAAGCATTACTCTGGAACCCTTACTATTAAACAATTTCTTAAAAGCGTTCTTTGGAACTGTTACATTGAATCCATTCCTTGGAACCGCTACTTTGGAATCGTTTCTTTGCAATCCTTACTTGGAAAGAATACGTGAAGAAGAGAAATTTGCACTCATATACTCTTCTCTATGCAATTTCCCGATGTAGGCTAGTAAATAGTGGCGAGCAAACAATAAATATGTTTATTCAATCAACATTATATTTTCAAATAACAATTTTAAGGAAATATATCATTATTTGCTACAAAATATTCTTAGAACGAACGGACCTGGCACAGCGCAAAATAGTATCAACGAGGATTTATTTATTATTAGGTAATTAATAATACCTTCACTGCAATTTTTATGTACCTATTTCTTTGTATGACCAAACTATTTTGTCCACCTTTGTCGTGATACTGACCAAAATATTTCCCTAAACGACTTATTTTTAGGTATTTTAGGTAATACAACCAGATTTTAAAGTGCTAACTACTACTAGTAGCTTACAACGTTTGCATGGGCAATTTGAATCAATGAGCACAAACAATCGACAGATTAATATGATAAGCTATATTTGGCCCAATATCTTGACCAAAAGATTATGTGGTGACACGCGCACTATATGAAGACATGGTAGATACCTAGTGGAATGTTATATTGTTGTATTTGAAAAACTCATGGTCATATTTTTCAAAAGAGTTTTGTTCCTTGTTTTGTTCCTTTAATTCTACAATTATTCTTAAAACTTTTGCTCTGTTTTAATTTGAAATCATTGTTTTTTGGACAGTTCTACTCATATACAGGGTTGTCTAAATAACACCGAAAAAATGTAAGGTGCGACTCTGATGAAAATTTTCGTATAAAATTTTTTGAAAAACACCCTTGAAAAGTTACGACCCTCCAAAAAATTAAAAATCGATCCCTATGACATTTTTCTTATAATCTTTCTTCCATTAATTTTCTTCCTTTTAAAAAATATGTCTAAAATGCTCCATTCATTTACTAACTTTTTTATCTCTTATTAGAAGAAAAAAAGAAATAAATCTACTGCAATGCATTTCTAAAAAGTTGAGCTGTTTAACGCGACTGTATTTTAAGAAATGATTAAATAATATGTTGATCGTGGCCTATCTTTTTTAAATTTATTGTTTTGAAATTACTATTCCATTGCAAAGAACAGGACACTAGATTTTTCGGCAAATGTATTTGGAAGTAAGGAATAATAGTCCAACCGAATTACACTTTAAGAAAAAAAAAAATATTACCTCGACTTTTATAAGTGGAAATGGTAAAGGGGCTTATAATAAACCTAAAAAAAATAAATGCGTGAGCAGGGTCGGCGGAGGGTTGATTTGGGGGGTTGAAAAGTTGTGAAAAATTGTATCATTGGGATTTCTGGCGAAAGTTGACGTCAAACAAAAAATTATCTAATACAAAAGTTGTAGATCATGCAAAAATCTACAACTTTTGTAGAGGTCACTTTTTAACATAACCTCAAAATTTCCGAGAAAAATGCGAAAAACCGTTTTTTTCTGATTTTTCGGTTTTTATTTCTTATTTCCGCAAAAATAATTTAATTTTGACAAAACTTGGTGAAAGTATACCTTTCTCTGTCTTTAATAGCCTCAAATTTTTTTAGATAAAAAAATCAAGATGTTTCTGAGATATTAATTTTTTTTGGCCTGAAACACTTTTTTTTCAAAGAAAAATTCTACTTAAAAAATCCTCGTACAGAGTTCTGCCGGTAATAATTTTTTTCATTTTAACATATACTTTTTGGCGAAATAAAATCTTTAATAACAGTTCAAAAACATACTCAAAAATGCTAAAAAAAAAAATTAAAAATGACGCAACAATGAATTTTTCAGTTATTGTTGATAATTTGTTTAAATTAAAAAACATTCAAAAACTGATTGCAGCATTCAATTCTACGGAAAAAAAAAGAAAAAATGTGTCATTGTTTGACCCAAAACTTTATTTTTGTACAGTATTGCTAGGTATAAACATCTAAGTCGAATTACAAATGCTCAAATGATAAATTATCTCTGGACGATTTGAGATTTCAGCAATACAAAGTATTAAAACTGCAAAGTCTACTGTTGACGCGAAATCCGAAAACTCGAAATTTTGCAAAATCGTTTTATTTTCGTTCTGGCTTTATTTGAAAACGAATTTTAAATAAATTGTATACTTACATCATCAGGTAAATTTTTTTTAAATACGACGCTTCTATTTTTATGACAAAATCTAAAGTAATTTTTAATTCTGTATTAGATGATATTACTATTGTAATAAAAAGGTTTTTAGATAGCATTAAACATTTTTCCTGAGTACGGCTCTGAACGCTTTCAAAATACCTGTATCTATTGGAGTGGAGAGAGAGAGAGGAGAGAATGAAAGTCAATACAGCACAAAATATCCAACAATTTTTTTTAATCCATAATTTAAAAATTACTATATTTTGTCATAAAAATAGCAGCGACGTATTTAAAAAAATTTACCCGATGATGGCTCCTCGAAGACGAAACGTCGGATTGCAAAAATGTTGACGCCATTGTATACAGCGAAAAAAGTGGCATTGTAAATATGTAATTTATTTTAAAATTTGTTTTCAAATAAAGNTTTATTTTTTTCTGGCTTTATTTGAAAACGAATTTTAAATAAATTGCATATTTACATTGCCACTTTTTTCGCTCTATCCAATGGCGTCAATATTTTTGCAATCCGACGTTTCGTCTTCGAGGGGCCATCATCAGATTAAATTTTTTTTAAATATGTCGCTGCTATTTTTATGACAAAATCTAGTCATTTTTAATTCTATATTAGATGATATTACTATTGTAATAAAAAGGTTTTTAGCTATCATTAAAAAAATTTCCTGAGTACGGGCTCTGAACGCTTTCAAAATACCTGTATCTATTGGAGGAGAGAGAGAGAAGAGAATAAAAGTCTATACAGCACAAAATGTCCAACAATTTAATTTAACTTAACTTTTTCTACTCTAAGTCTCTTACCGTTTCCTAGATCCTAATGCTATCCCATCCTTATCTTGGACACACTGTATATCTATGAATTCATCAAACGTTAACAAAATAAGTACATAAATCGATCATACAGAAAAAAATATTACTTATTTTATTTATTCACTATTCGACTTATGTTTATAGCAATACTGTACAAAAATAGTTTTGGGTCAAACAATGAGACAGTTTTTTTTGTATTTTTTCCGTGTAATTGAATGGCGTAATCAGTTTTTGATTTTTTTTATAATTTAAACAAATTATCAATAATTATTGAAAACTTCATTGTTGCGTCATTTTTAATTTTTTTGCATTTTTAAGTATGTTTTTGAACTGTGATTACAATTTTTTTTATTTCTCCAAAAGTATGTCAAAACGAAAAAAATTATTACCGGCAGAACTCTGTACGATGATTTTTTTAAGTAGAATTTTTCTTTGAAAAAAAAGTGTTTCAGGCCGAAAAAAATGAATATCAGAAACTTCTTGATTTTTTTATCTAAAAAAATTTGAGGTTATTTAAGACAGAGAAAGGTATACTTTCACCAAGTTTCGATCAAAATTAAATTATTTTTGCGGAAATGAGAAATAAAAAACGAAAAATCAGAAAAAACCTGTTTTTTGCGGTCATGTTAAAAAATGACTGCTACAAAAGTTGTAGATTTTTGCATGATATACAACTTTTGTATTGGATACTTTTTTGTCTGACTTCAACTTTCGCCAGAAATCACAATGATCCAATTTTTCATAACTTTTCCACCCCCCAAATCAACCCTCCGCCGCCCTTGCTTACGCATTTATTTTTTTGTTTCGATTATTATAAGCCCCTTTACCATTTCTACTTATAAAAGTCCAGGTAACAATTTTCTTTTTTTTCCCTCTAAATAAGTGATTTTCATCCATCTAATAAGAGATGATAATTATAAAAAAAATTATAATTAAGTATGAAAAAAGCAGAAGTTCTTAATTTTCAAGTGAAAAAAAAACATGACTATTAAATATTCAGGGTATTACCTAACTAACTTTACTATTAGCCTTTAAAATCTGGTTGGCCTCACTCATTACACCTTCAACTGATGCTAACTAGTACAAAACCACAACCTATCTGCTACTAAGCTGACTAGATCATAGACATGGGATATAACAAAAGAAAAAGTCTTAAACGATCTACTTTACATATACTGGAAATATCAATTGATTCTCTAAATGTAACAGGCCACAATTACCACATGAATCTGTTGATCTAGTAAGCCAATTTCGGTACATTTTAACACGGTATATGTTTAACACATTGTTATATTATGCTTAGTTAACAATTGGATGCAGTCTTTTACAATGTTAAAAGCACGATGCATTTGAACAATAAAGTCAACAACGACCCGTCACTTTTTGTACAGTCCCAGCTTGAGTGGCACCTCCTTGCTCTGTCTGGAGCTCAACGGCACCGGGAATGGATTGAAAGCTTTGCTCGGCGACTTTAAAGGAGACTTAAGAGGAGATTTCGAAGTTGAGCTTTCCCCTTGCGAGCTTACGTTCAGTGTAAGAGACTTTTTATCCTCGGGACAATTCGTACTGGGTTCTCGCGACTCTCTCACGTCGCTTCGATCTTGTAAAATATCAGATCGGTTCTCGGATAAAGGTTCCACACTCCCTTGAATCCTTCTGTCCAAACCAGTAACGAGAGAGTCTTCTTTAGGGGTTGTATCGCTTTCGTTTTCAAGCGGATAGCTGCGCAACTGCGACAATAAGTTTTTATAAAACTTTGAATGTTCATCTGGTCCTTCCTCCTGGACAGCGAAAGAATATTTGTTTGACGAGTCAGCTTGACCATTTTCGGTATCTTGAGATTTAAACTCGTTGAAATCTGTTGAAGATGAGTTTGTCGAAGGTAGGTTTAAATCGAACGTAGAACTTCTTGTGAAATCAATCCCTGAGTCAGTGTCGCTGATGCCGAAATTAAAAGCCGTGGAAATTGTGTCTTCCGATTCTTTTTTCCAGGAGAATGAGCTAAAGGCGGATGTCGGGTGGTCGTCATCTTTTGTTGTTTGATAAGAAAAACCTTTGTATGTGAAATTAGTTGCCAAATCGTATTCGGGTTCTGAATTTGTTTGTTCTTGTTTGGGTCTAATTGAATTATTGCTTTGTTCTTCAGGAGAAAATAAAGTTTCCTCTTTCGAGCTGGTAGCTGTGTTATATTTTTCCGGGGGTGCAATTTTATAACCTCTAGAGAAAATATTTTCAACAGCCATTGTACTAAGTTTGAACAATTCATTTTGTGTAAAATTGTCGTTATTCAACTTCCTTTCTTCGCATATTCTAGTAAGATTCTTCTGTTCGCTTAAGGATTGCTTCAGAGGGGGGATGTTTAAAATCAACGCGTTGTATTTTTCATCCAGGCTTTTGCTTTTCTCTAAAATGCTGGTGTATTTCGAACCGTATTCGGGGGACTTCAGCTCCTCTGTATTTTCCTCGAATAATATCTGGGTCAGACGATCTGGGTCCGTAGTAGTATCGATCTCTGCATGCGATTCATAGCTAAGGTCTGGAGAAGGCATATCGTGTTTTGAATGAGACCGAGGGAGTTGTTGCAATAAAACCGGATCGTGATAATGACTTGACGGCACCGTATGCGCGTCTGTTTTGTCTTCCACTTGAATAGGAGGTGGAGACGGAGACAGTCTAGATTGGCACTGAAGTATCCTGTGCAGGATGAGGGAATTTTCTTGTATTATTTGCAGCGCCTTAGCGCTATTCCTCCTGGCACAGTTTATCCTGTCATCCGACTCTTCCTCCTGCACGACGTCGTCTTCCTTAAGGCATTTTACGCGGTCGGCTAAGAACCTTTCAAAATCGAAATTCTCGTCGTCGGATTCGGATGATTTTACGGTAACAAAAGTATCACGTGTTTCCGGGTTTTCAGTCAGTAAACTTTGGCTTGGGGAGCTAGATCTCTCGACGTCTACTTCTATGGAGTTTGTTTCTACATCTACCGTCTCCTCCGGTTCACTGGCACTGGTTTTAGCACTTTTATTTGTATTGTCAGTTCTCATAAGAATATTATCACTATCGCGGGGCAGATTGTCGTCGAATTGACTCTTTTCCTCGGGTTCTTCATCGCTAGAAGACTTGCCCGAGTCGTCATCACATAATTCCGTGTCGCTCGAGCTGGAGCTTGACGTTTGTTTAGGAGCGTCTTTCCACAGTAGTGTGCTGGGGGTCTGCCTGGCCGGTGGAATGGCGCCTTTGGGAGGACCCAACCTCTTAGCGGGCACCAGGGCGCTTTTCCCGAGCAACAGATGGTTCATGGTAACGGGAGCTGCGGCTGGAGATTGTCTGGAAATTGCCGCGCTAAAGATGATGTGGGCCTGCCTCTGCCGCTGTTTAAGCTTGGTGTACTGCTTCTTCAAGGCGCTGATGTCCAACGCGATGCTCTGCTTCGAGTAGAGCTTCAACTGTTTCTCCACCACAGCTTGGGGCAGCGACGGACCCCAGGGGTTGATGTTGTATAGGTAGTGATCCCTCAGGTTCTTCAGTTCTGTCAAGGGTCCTATCGCGATGACGGCTTTGATCAAGGAGTTGCCGTCTACGAGGCCGAATTCCAGCAGTTCTCTGGTGAGGACGCCCATGATGCAGTAGAACTCGTCGGCGCTGCGGGCGGTGAGGATCCTCTCCCCCAGGACCTGCCAGATCGCTAGGGCCGTTCGGAGCAATATTTCGTTGCCTTCCAGGAGGATCAAGTCCCATACGCGCAGCACGGTGGGCTGGGGCAGGCAGTTGCAGAAGAGGGTCAGGAACCTGGAAAAAAATCACCTTTAAAAAACTGTCAAATATAATATGATTTATCTTAGAGACAAATGGATATTTCTCAATTAGAATTTGAACTTCTTCTAAATGTAAATAATCAATGTTAGCATTTTTGTAAATCGAACTTTTGAAGCAAGTCACAATCAGTTGCAACTGACATATCTGCCTCTGTTTCTGACGAATCCACAACTTTCGAGTTCATAAATTCAATAAATCGTTAATACCTGTTTATTGTTTTTATTTAATTATAATTATTTTACTTCATTTGCGATTGGAATTTGACTTTACTCACTAAAAAGTAAACTGGAACTGTCTACATAAAGAAATATCTATTTTTTTTTTAACTTTTGAGTATCCAAAACACACCCTACATTCTATTGAGGACTAGCATAAATTACAGTTTCTAGAAAAAAATATGTTTAATAATAAAACCCAAATAAAATAACCCATAAAAAATTATTACAGCCCACAATGTCTGATGAGTTAAATAAAAATCAATTTGGGGCTTAAATTTTCAGCACCCTAAAGCCTATCAGAAATGCGTCTTTTGAAACTGCCTATTTAAACGGATAACTAACTCTTTCTGTACTTGAAACACTCACATTACAGCAATATTGAACTGATTATACAGGTTCAATAATATCAACTATGTGATTGCTAAAGTTCGAGGTTTGTGTTAATTTTGAAGATTAACTACTAACAAGTCGACTGAAGCAGATTATTTTAAGCCCGATTAAAGGTTAAATTTGTTTAACTTTTAACTTTTAACCTTTAAATAAAACACCTTTTATATCCATGAGTGCGAATGGAATAAGCGATGTTTTAATGTGAATTTGAAATGCCTCTGCAGTTGGTAGGATGGGGAAGATTTGTACGTGAATCGAACGTTAATGAGTAAAGTTTTATGGCAACTGTACTGGGAAGTACACATTGTTGGAGTTAGTTCAGTTTGTTGAGAGAAAGTTGGAAGTTACGTTTACTATTTGAATCCAAGAAAGGAAACATTTTCCCGAGGAACCAAACTGCTCATAAGAAACGTGTTCATACAAGTACTCCTTTATTTTGAATCGACGAATTTTTGCTTTTAGAATGTAGACCAATCAAAATAACTCGCTTAGAGGAAAAAAAAAGAAAATTGCTACCTGAACTTTTATAAGTGGAAATGGTAAAGGGGCTTATAATAAACGAAAAAAAATAATAAATGCGTGAGCAGGGGCGGCGGGGGGTTGATTTGGGGGGTTGAAAAGTTATGAAAAATTGTATAATTGGGATTTCTGGCGAAAGTTGACGTCAAACAAAAAAGTATCCAATACAAAAGTTGTATATCATGCAAAAATCTACAACTTTTGTAGAGGTTACTTGTTAACATAACCTCAAAATTTCCGAGAATTATGCGAAAAACTTTTTTTTTTCTGATTTTTCGTTTTTTATTTCTCATTTCAGCAAATATAATTTAATTTTTACGAAACTCGGTGAAAATATACCTTTCTCTATCTTAAATAACCTCAAATTTTTTTAAATTAAAAATCAAAAAGTTTCTGAGATATTCACTTTTTTTGGCCAGAAACACTTTTTCTTCAAAGAAAAATTCTACTTAAAAAAATCGTACAGATTTCTACCGGTAATAATTTTTTTCGTTTTGCCATATACTTTTTGGTGAAAAAAAATTGTAATCACAGCTCAAAAACATGCTCAAAAATGCAAAAAAGTAAAAAATGACTTGCAACAATGAATTTTTTAGTTAGTGTTGATAATTTGTTTAAATTAAAAAACATTCAAAAACTATTCAATTCTACGGAAAAAATAAAAAAAAACTGTGTCATTGTTTGACGTATACAGTATTGCTATAAACATAAATCGAATAGTGAATAAATAAAATAAATAATATTTTTTTTCCGTAGGATCGATTAGTGTACTTATTTTTTTAAAAGTTTGATTAATTCATAGAGATATACAGTGTGTCCAAGATAAGGATGGGATAGTATTAGGATCTAGGAAACGGTAAGAGATACGGGGTGGGTTAGATTAGAAAAAAGTGTGTTTTTTATATCTAACAATATGCCGCTTAGAAAGTTTTAAAATTCCGGGTAGTTCCGGAGATATCAGGAAAAACCCGAAATTTTGCAAAATTGTTTAATTTTTTTCTGGCTTTATTTGAAAACGAATTTTAAAATAAATGACATATTTACAATGCCATTTTTTTCTCTATACACAATGACGTCAACATTTTTGCAATCCGACGTTTCGTCTTCGAGTGGCCATTATCGGGTTAATTTTTTTAAATACGTCGCTGCTATTTTTATGACAAAATCTAAAGCTAAAAAAGTGATGCAAAAAGAGTTACTCCTGTTTCAAATATAACAATTCGCACGCAAAAAGTAAAATAATAAATAAAGAACATATTAAGTTTAGAAAAAAATGTATAAAAAAACATTATTCAAACGTCTTCTAAATATATGGACTCTACAGCCCCCCTAAAACGTTTTTTAGATGGTTATTGTCCAAAGGTGTGCTGTACACATTCTATTTGAGTCTGTTCCTCAAGTAAGAAAGAGTCCATGATGGTTAAATCTGGATGCCGACCTGAGGGAAAAATCGAAATTCAGTTTGCTCCATAAAATTACTGTTTAAATTAACTTTATATTGTTTGCTGTAAATACTGTTCGAACTCTCTATCAATATTTTTTAGTTCTAAATTTATAATATAATTTTGTAAATTAGAAAGATAGCTAAAATTTTGTGNAAAAAAACTGTCTCATTGTTTGACCCAAAACTATTTTTATATAGTATTGCTATAAACATAAGTCGAATAGTGAATAAATAAAATAAATAATAATTTTTTTCCGTAGGATCGATTAGTGTACTTATTTTTTTAAAAGTTTGATTAATTCATAGATATACAGTGTGTCCAAAATAAGGATGGGGTACCGTTAGGATCTAGGAAACGGTAAGAGATATGGGGTGTCTCAGATTAGAAAAAAATTTTTTTATACCTAACAATATGCTGTTTAGAAAGTTTTAAAATTCCCGGTAGTTCCGGAGATATCCGGAAAAATCCGAAATTTTGCAAAATTGTTTAATTTTTTCTGGCTTTATTTGCAAACAAATTTTAAAATAAATTGCATATTTACAATGCCGTTTTTTCGCTATATACAATGACGTCAACATTTTTGCAATCCGACGTTTCGTCTTCGAGGGGCCATTATCGGGTTAATTTTTTTAAATACGTCGCTGCTATTTTTATGACAAAATCTAAAGCTATTTTTAATTTTGAATTAGATGATATTACTATTGTAATTGCTTAAAAAGTTTTTAGCTTGTTTTAGCTATAATTTAAAATTTACGGCTCTGAACGCTTTGAAAATATCTATTGGAGGAAGTTATAACAGTATAAAAGTCAATACAGTACAAAATATCCAACAATTTTTTTTCTACTATTAGCAATACTAATTAGAAATAATAAAATATTTCATAAATTCGTATTATTTTTTTATTAGGTACAACTTTATAAATTATGGATTAAAAAAAATTGTTGGACATTTTGTGTTGTATTGACTTTTATACTATTATAACTTCCTTCAATGATCTTAACTTCCTCCACAAGATGTTTTGAAAGCGTTCAGAGCCGTGCTTAGGAAACATTTTAAATGATAGCTAAAAACCTTTTACAATAGTAATATCATCTAATTCAGAACTAAAAATGGCTACATTTTGACATAAAAATAGCAGCGACATATTTAAAAAAAATTAATCGAAGACGAAACGACGAATTGAAAATGTTGATGCCATTGGATAGAGCAAAAAAGTGGCAATGTAAATATGCAATTTATTTTAAAATTCGTTTTCAAATAAATCCAGAAAAAAAAAACAATTTTACAAAATTTTGGGTTTTTGGGTTTCGAGTCAACAGTAGACTTTGCAGTTAATACTTTGTATTGGTGAAATTTCAAATCATGTCAACCAAGATTTTTATCAAACAATGAGACAATGGTGTAATCAGTTTTTGAATGTTTTTTTAATTTAAACAAATTATCAACAATTACTGAAAAATTCATTGTTGCAAGTCATTTTTAATAACTGTGATTATAGTTTTTTTTTATTTCACCAAAAAGTATATATCAAAACGAAAAAAATGATTACCGGCAGAACTGTGTACGGCGATTTTTTTAAGTAGAATTTTGCTTTGAAGAAAAAGTGTTTCAAACAGGAAAAAATGAATATGTCGGAAACTTCTTAATTTTTTTATCTAAAAAAATTTGGGGTTCTTTGAGACACAGAAAGGTATACTTTCACCAAGTTTCGTTAAAATTAAATTATTTTTGCGGAAATGAGAAATAAAAAACGAAAAATCAGAAAAAAAATGTTGAGGTTATCTTAAAAAGTGACCTCTACAAAAGTTGTAGATTTTTGCATGACCTACAACTTGTATTGGATACTTTTTTGTTTGACGTCATTGACGTCACTACGTCAACTTTCGCCAGAAATCCCAATGAAACAATTTTTCACAACTTTTCAGCCCCCCAAATCAACCATCCACCGCATTCATTTTTTTAAGGTTTATTATAAGTCCTTTTACCATCTCCACTTATAAAAGTCTAGGTAACAATTTTTTTTTTCCAAGTGTAATTTGATTGGACTAAGAAGCAGATTGCGATCGTCATCTATGCAAAAATTCTGGGTTGATAACAATTGGGCATAGCCCGTCCCTGGCGTCCTGGGCATAATGAAGTTTCACTTACATCAAAAACAAGCTGTACGCTTGTGTTATCGATCACCAAATTTACATCATGTTGAAGTTAATAGAATAAAGCCTATAAATAAAAATAACTTTTTAATTTTCACCTTTGAGGACCCGTAACTTGTTAACGAAGGCCCGTATGAAAAAAAATTATATGAAGAACTGAAATTATTTTGACCTTATCTATTTGAACTTTTTTGTACAAAGTACCGGGACACCCTGTATATACCTACTGAGTATCTATAAATAGCCA